CGAAGAAACAATATTTCGAAAGAATAAACATACAAAAAGTAGTTATAACAAAAAGTTGAACTCTTTGAAAATATTAGAAAAATGTCACTATCATGACATTTTGCAGTTCAAAAAGTGCTACTTGTTGTTATTGGAGCAAGTTGAATATATCAATAAATCGTATGGATTAAAGGTAATTAAAACCTGTATCTTATGAACTAGAACAAAAATAACGTTAAATGCGGCCACCTGACTGATCAGGCAGGCCCACCACATTGGTGACTGAGTTTGTTGCGGCGCTTCTTCTCAGCACTTGCCAAATGTTGGTCTCGAAGCGCTGGTAGGTAGGGTAAAAAGATTATGAGACATTATTTTGTAGAAATGCATATAATATGTGCATTAAACTATTTAATAATCTTCCTGACTATATCAAGCTGCTACATGGTAGGGAATTCAAAATAGGGTTGACAAATTGGTTACATACAAATTGTTTTTATTCACTTAAGGAATATTATGACTGGAGGAATTATTCTGACTAAGCAAATTAGGTAGATGTTATTTAAATTTTAAATGATAATAAATTGACTTGTGTAAAACATTTGCATGCTGGTTCATATCTGGCGAATGTGTCCTGCTCCATTTCATTATGTAACATCTAATGTACCACATTCTGCAAATAAATAATTTGAATTTGAGGCTCCAAGAGCAAAATGTTTGACGATTTGTAAGTACCTACTATTTAAATAGTATAATTTAGGGATTTTATGGATATGTAGTTTCGGTTATGGATACGGTTACGGATATATAGGAATAATATTATACCGGTTTCGGTTACAGTTACGGATTTTTTTTTATTTCGGATATCCGAAAGTTTCGGTTACGGTTATATATATCTGTGCTTTAAATTGCAATTTGCAATAGTTAATTCATGGCCGCACACTTTACATAGAATAAAAAGTAATAAAATAATAAAAAATTATACTAGATGGCATTATAAAGGTAAGTCAGGCAGTTATGCCTTTACATAATTATGTACAAATGCTATATGTGCACGACGGACGGCCTCCGAATCGTACCGAATAGAAATTTAAATAGTTGTAAATAGTTTTCGTTTTGTTTCAATTTTGTATCGTTNGATCTTGAACTTGCTGTGAAAGGTCTTGGTTTTCCTTGAGGACCTGCACGTTACTGTGAGCTTGAATAGCTTTTTGCTTCAGCGACTGGTACTGCACGGCCATTTGGGATGTTCCATGGCTCACCCTTCTGCACAGGTTACTAATCCTCAGTTTCTGGTCAGTGTTGAGTTTTCCTTCCGATGAGATAATGCACACCTCATTCAGACACTGCTCGATGCTCTTCATCCAGTTCTGGAGTTCTGAAGTGGCCACCACTTCGAGTGGTTCCATGACGTGCTCGGCGGGGGCGGCAGGCGGCGCGTGCCGCGTGGGCGTGGGCGGAGGGCTGCGCTGCGTGAGCGCGCTCCGGTTGAAGGGACTTCCTTCCATATTACTATGTCGAATCACTTAACATTATAAGTTCGGTGTCTAATTAGAAACGAACGACACAGTAGAACACTTCCGAGTTCCGAGATTGTAGGTCGCGATATTGCTAATGAATAATTAAATTAAATATTTTCATAGCGCTGACACGTCCGACCAAGTTGACGGCTGGCGAATATCTATATATAATAAAACAGGGTGGCCCAGAAGAAAATTCACTTTTGAAAATTCAAGGAAACGACAACTGTAAATTTTTGTAGAACTTTAACTATTGCAATTTAAAGGAAATTTAGTGCAATTTATTTTAAAATTTACTTTCTTTTATAAATTTTATCGTACATGTGATTCCCTTGACGTTTACAACACTCGGTCAACATACATAAAAAATTTGGAAAGCTTTCGTTAGAGTTACCTCGAAATGGATTCAGGATGGATGAATGCTGCAGAGTTTTTGGATTATTAGAGTATACTCTGCTCATTGGACCTCGCGTCTACGTATTGCCATCTGGCGGATTTTTCAATCGCGAAAACCCTCATTGAATGGTATGCGATCGTCGAATACCGACGTACCAACGAAATTTCTGCATATTTTTGAAACCAAAATCTTTTTTTTTTTTTAATTATTTATTAGTATGTTGCCGTATAACTGTTTCAGCTGCTTTGCATATTTTAAAGACGTCATTAGACTACCTTAATCTTTCGCTATGATAAATGTATCATAGCGAAAGAATAAGGTATGCGTAGAGTTGGTTTCATTGGCCAAAAGAGCTCTCCAACACAGACATCACATTTTATGTTTTTCATCAACGTATGTATGACATTTCCTGCGATGTGATGAAACCTGTATGCTAAAATCAGTCATAATAATATTTTCTAAGTCAAAAAAAGCATCTCCGTCATCTTTGTCATCAACTGTTTCACAACAGGCTTTTTCAACAGATGGTGATGTTAAATTTATTCTTTCTACCGCAGATTTACAATTGAGAATTGACAGGTGTTCAAGGGCTGTGCAATTCCCGTTGTCAATGTCTTTGAGCTCTATATAAGCAACTTTTTATATGCCGCCTTAAACTGTCTCGCTGTGGGATTATTGTTAGCACCACCGTGAGATCGTATGTTGGCGAAAAGCAATTCAAGATGATCTTGACTACATTTGTAAAATGGGAAGAATATTAATTCTCCCGTTTCAATAAGATTAATACAAAAATGTCTTACAGCTTTAGCACAACTAATGAACCCCAAAAATCCAACTTTCCTTGGACTTTTGGTTAAAGGCAGACCATTGTCAGATATTAAATTAGAAATATATAAATTTAACAGCTTTATCTAAATACGTTAATATTTCAGTAGCATTATTGCTATTTATCGGTTTTTTATAGCTAAATTGTTTCATACTTCTAGAATTAAAAAAGGTCAAAAAGATTGTTTACAGTTTTCAAGAAAAATGCAGTTGGTGAGCTCTTTTGAAAATCTTATATATTTAAGTCGTTTCGACAAAAATCTATCGCATCAGCTACACTTATAAGCTAAACAGCTGCGTAGCCAATTTAACTTTCATTTTTTGGTTGTGAAACCTTATATGTCGGTGTCTTAATTTATTGGCTAAGTGAAACTGTTCTTTTTAATATGGCATAATTTGTTTTTTGGCGTTTCAGCTCGTAATGACAACTTCGCTAAAAGACATCTTCTCATATTGTCTATTTCTCACAATGACAAATTCGCATTTGGTCAACTTCGCATAATGAATGAAATGTCGATGTACCTATAACTTTACTGCATATCTGAATTGTACAATTGTTTATTATCCTAAATAAAATAAAATAACATTTATAAACGTAAATAAAAAAATATACTTTATGTCGATAATTAAAACTTTATTTTAGGTTTACAATAAAATTACATAATACTAATACACAGAATAATAATAAACATTTTAATTACTTTTACAAGTGGATTAATATTTTAAGTCATTATTTTCAGTATCCGAGTCAGCGTCAAATACATCGAAGCGGTAGCCAAAATGATCTGATATATTCAAAGTAAGCATATTGTTTGAGGCACCCAATGTAGTCAATATAATATGTTGTTAGCAACACTATTGATTAATAGGAACCACGTTCGAAGCTTGCTTAGCTTTGATAAGGCTCAGGTTTTCAGGCTCATAATGGCCTCTAATACGTCATTTCCTTATCGTCGTCATCGCGATCAAGCGCGGCGATAATTTTTAGATTATATTTTTCGTATTTTGCAAAGTGTGAATATATCCGCTCCTCTTTAACGTGAAGAGCTTCTTTGGTCATCGAGCTAGTTGACTCTGTGAAGGATTTGTCAATTTTAGTTATTGAAGCCTTGATTGACCCTCTTTGCTTCCTAAGGACAGTTACACCATCATTACCTTGTTTTGGGTTTTCCATTGTTTTTACTATAATTTGACACCTTAAAATCCAATTACCCATCCACCTTAAATTACAATTTGCAACGTAAAAACGCTGCACGAAAAACACTTGGACGGACAACACAAAATGGCGGATTGACGTCGTGGGGATGATGATTGTAAAGGGTGTCTCAGAATGTTTTTCGTTTTTAGATGTTAAATAAAAAACAACAATATCAATTAAAATTAGTTTATTTATTTTTAAATTAAAGAGTAGTTTTTGAAGTTTATTTATGAAAAACAACCGTTTGCAAATGCGCACCATTCAGTTGTTCACACTCATTTAACCTGGAGCTTAAATTTTCAATCACTTGCTGAAGCATCGCTCTTGGAATATAGAGTTGATTTCTTCAGTGATTCTTTGCTTTAAAACATTCAGGTTGGTTGGGTGGCAATGGATTGTAAACTTTACTTTTTAGGTAGCCCCATAGAACAAAATCAGCAGGCGTTAAATCAAGGCTTCTCGGTGGCCAGTTGATGTCTCCTCGGCGACTTATCGCTCTTCTAGGGAATAAATCGTGAAGAGCTTCTAATGAGTCATTTGTGACATGAGAAGTGGCTCCATCTTGCTGGAAAAAGGTGTTGCGGTTGTAGCCAGTATGGTTTTGCATTTTTGTAGCCAAAAAAGTCCGGATCATATGGCAATATCGATCAGAATTAACGGTCTGAGTTTGACCTCGGTCATCTTAAAAAAAATAAGGACTGATAATTCCTTGACTTGATATGGCAGCCTAAACAACAACTTTTGGCGAGTGCAAGGGCTTCTGATGCAGTTCTAGCGGATTCTCGGAAGCCCAGTATCTGCAATTTTGTTATACACGTTTTTTTTATACACGTGACCGTTGTGATGTGAAAATTCGATTCGTCGGAGAACCAGATGTTATTGAAACTTCTAAAACGATTTTTAATTGTCCTGCAGAATTCGACTCGATTATCAGGATCATCCAGGCTTCATTTCTTGAACCGGTGCGGCATATCGAGCCGCCCGGCTCCCCGTCGGAGGCGCCACCACCACCACCACCTTCGTCGCAACTGCAGCACGACGACGCAGTCAGAGCGTCGTCAACGAAATCGGACCGTGCACGAAGGATCGCGCGCGCCAAACAGAAGATAGCTAGACTCAAGCTGGAGCTGGAAGAGGCCAGGCTTGCCGTCCTGGAGGAGGACAGCCAGGACGGCGAGTCGGTCGCATCGGGTGAATCGCTGGGCCAGGCGCGAGTGGCCGAGTGGCTGAATACAGTGCCGCCGCCGCCGCCCGCCGCGTCGCTCAGTGCACCGCAACCGTCTACAGGCGTAGCACCGCCGCCCGGCGTGCCACGTGCACCGCCGCCCGGCGTGTCACACGCACCACCGCCGCCACCCGGCGCGCCACACGCGCTGCCGACCGGCGTATCGATCGCACAGCCGCACAGCGTACCACAGTTGAAGCAATCGTCGTCATCGAAGCCGCCGCCAGCAGCAACGGGGTATCATCGGTCCGAGGGACAATTCGACCTTAACGAGCTGGCGGCCACCATCGCGCAGGCCGCGCGCCCACATGGGGCCACGCCGCGATTCATCGGAGAACTGATGCCCTTCGGGGGCTCACATCTCGACTGGCTCGCCTTCAGAGCGGGCTATCAAGAAACAGAGAGATACTTCACAGAAATCGAGAATACAGCCCGCCTGCGACGGGCTTTGAAAGGAAAAGCCAAGGAAGCGGTTAGCAGTTCACTCATAGTAAACACTAACCCGGCGGAAATAATCGGCGAACTTGAGACGAGATTCGGCAGACCGGAGACGCGATTGCGCTCGCCGAGATCGAACGTCTTCGCAACGTACAGAAACCTACAGATGCGCCGCGGGACATAATACAGTTCGCGAGTCGAATAAAAAACAGCGTCGCCACACTCCGCGCACTCCAGCAGCCGCAGTACATGTATAACCCGGAAGTGGTCAAGCAAGTGACAGAGAAGCTGACGCCGTCGCTGCGGTACCGGTGGTTCGACTTCAGCCGTGACCAGCCGCCGGAGGAGCCGGACCTCGTGCGATCTGGTATGTTGAAGAAGGATCTGTTAATTCCCTCTGATTTAAGAGAATTCCGGGGCACCATGGAAGTTCATCAGGTGATATGGACCAATAAAACTCCCGAAGTCCTCGCCATGAGACGTCTTAGCTGTCATTTAGAAAAATGTTCGGAAGAACCAATTCATTGTCAACATATCGGTTTTTATAATATCAAAAGTTTAAATGTGCACAGCACTGGTACATCTAAAACCGCGAAATCAAACAATACTAAAAGAAAATTACTTCGATAAACCTTCTACTTCGAACCCAAATTATGGGCTAGCTGCAATTGAAGTTCAGAGCATTCAATCGGATATTCATATTCCATCTGATGATAGCTTTTGGATTAATGTGCCTTCAGTAAATAAAACCTTAATTTCCGATTATACGTATGTGTAAAGTAGTAACGTCTGCTCTCTATGGCGGGGAAGACTCGGATTCTACTGATGATTATAATAATATTTTTTAATTTATTGTTTGTCCATTTGCAAATCATATTCATTTATTTTTATAAGTTTATACGTTTTTGAGAAACTTTATCGCTGTTAGATTCATAATATAGCGTCATTGTTGCCGCATGAAAAGGTGTTATACTTTTATGCATACAATATCGTCTACAATATTGACTTGTGTGTGTTAGATATTGTAGGCACGTTAGATGATTTGATTATATTAATTTGATAGTTTTTAGATAATTACGTTGATTGGTTAAAGTTGATTGATATTCCTAAAGAGAGATATTGTTTTGTTTTTTTTATTACTACTTATAAGATTAATGATGATTCTAAAGAACCAAAATGAAACCAAAAGACTGTGGTAAGTTTAATTCAAACGATTATTCTATACAAAACCAAAATTTTAAAGTCACAATATATTTTTATATCTAAACATGTGACAGTGATGACTATTTGTGAAATATGTTTACAATGTGTTATTGTGATATTTAGCTTTTTTCGATAATGTCGAACCTTTAGGAAAAGTCAAACGCTGGTTTTTTTCTTCCAAGCAAAAAGTTGACGTGAATATACCACACCTCTTTCAAAATTATAATAAAGGAATGGGAGGTGTGGACCAAATGGACCAGTCGATAAGCCTTTACCGTTTTTGCATCAGAGGGAAGAAATGGTGGTGGGTAATATTTACTTATCTAGTAGGTAGATATGGCGGTCTCAAATGCATGGCGCTTACATGTACTTACCGCTAAAATTAAAAACAGATCGTATTTACCCAATTATAAAAACAGAAGCCTGCTTTGCGTCGGCGAATTTTAGAAGAAATTCACGAAGGACATTTAGGCATGAATAAAATGAAATCTCTCTTACGCAGTTATGTGTACTAGTCATCAAGTCAAGTTAGATATCGACATTGAGGAGTTCTGTCGTTACTTGTTAATTTGAAAATCATCCAACTGACGCGTCCACATCCCAAGAAGCTGTTGAAGCTGTTGTTGAGATTGAAAATTACGAAGCAATTGAATTTCTCAATATCGATCAATTTCCAGTTACATTAGCAGAACATTTAATGGAAACTAGTGTCCGACCGAAATTTCGGTTTCGGTTTCGGCCAGTTTCGGCCAAAAAATAAAGTTTCGGCCCGAGTTTCGGTATCGGCCAAAAACGGCCGAACCTTTCGACCGCGCCGAAACTTACAACATCATACCTTCGGGTCGCGCTCGGCTAACGTCGGGCGCGCTCGGCACGGCTGGCAATATGGCGTCGCTCGTCTGACTCCGCCGGCAACAACCTAAATCAGTGCGCTTTGCTCGTGTAGACGTGTCAATACGTGTTGTGTTTGTTCCGCGAATAATGGTAAGTAGTTTGATCAAGTATTTTAGTTTGTTTTTGTTGTAAATTCGTCATGTCATAGTTAATATTTAACGCTTTATTTTAATAGTTTGCTAACCTATTGACGAATATATTTAATTTTAAATGAGGGGTGCCAAACCATAACGTTTTAAGTGCCACACGTACTGAAATACGTTTTATTGCAGTAAAACGTTGTATGTGCCGGCGTTTACTTGCAGTTATGAGTTGACGGGTATCTAACGCCATCTAGCTTAAAATTTGTAAAATAGCATGCCATAACGTTTTATAGATGACCCACGCTGAACTGTCCCGCCAAACTCAATGACAGGGGGGCGCTACCATCCTTCAACTATATGGTTTCCAACATGGCAAAAATCTGAACCAGCGATCCGGTATTGACGGTGGCGCCCCACTGTCAATGTCATCGACAGGACAGTCCAGTATTTTGGAACTATAAGTGCCAAATAAGCTGCATAAGTCAGTTCATTCAAAATGTCNGGGCGCGCCGAGGGCAACCATCCGACAACGGCACCAACCTGCGTGGTGCCGACGTCGAGCTCCAGCGGGCCGCCCTCCAGGCGAGCCGGCAGGAGGCCGCCAACCTCCATACCGCCGATGGCGCNTATTAGAAACAGCCTGTGATTAAATTTAACAAAATTACAAACTAAACATGTATTGTCAAAAGTTACTTGAAAACAATGAAAAAATACTTTTCAAAATAAAACACACATGTTTGTTGTCACGGCAAAAACCACATGGTCGATATTAATTGAATTTAGTTGTGTATCGCTTAGTGTTGCAATTACAGACATTCAATAAATACTTTACGAAATATGAGGGTGGTACAATTTACCCGGCGGTACAATATACCGAACTCTCCCCTACTTATTATTATGGTCCTGAAGTGGTGGCAAGGAAACTAGGTAATTTTGGGGCGTTTATTTCCCTGAAAAAGGCCTACCTACTCAACATTAAAAAAAATACTTTTATTTGTCTGGATCATAATCTGGATTAAGTACCAATTAAAAGTCGTTAAAGACTCTTAAGGAGCCAAGTCTTCTAATATGTAATTTTTGCCCTCTTACGTACACACGGCCACACAGTTAACTATCCGTTTTTCCTCTCGCTCTCATCAAATGGTGATTCTTTGCGATAGAACGAGATGACAATGACCGGTAATGGGTAGTTATATAACACTGTTGCCGATAGTACCTACGCTTCGTGAAAAACATTTGGCAAGTGCTAAGAAGACGCACGCACGCATACTTAATAAAGATTTTCACTTGTTCCAGGCTACATCGTCCTCTCATCGTTCTCCCTGCTCAGTGCTTTCGGTCTGCTGCTCCTCATCACGGTCCAGCCGAGTCCAGGAACTGCCCTCAATGACATCACCTCAGGAGCGGTTTGCGCAGTCAGCATACTGTGCCTTGGCCTGGCGTCTATAGGAGTAGTAGCCTCGTACTGCTGTGCTAGGGACCCGCCGGATAATAGGGTGGGGACCACTAGATGGTATTAGGAGATAACGGGACTACCCACTTCTCGTTAAAATTCCCACTGTTGCAACTCCTGTGTAGCCAGGATCTACAGCTTGAGCGCCAATAACCCAACCAGTGAAGGTCAAGTTTGTCTCTGGGAAAAGTTAAACTGTCATTGGACCCGCAACGAAATTCAGAAGAACATAGGAGTTCGAAGTTGTTTGTTTTGTATTAGGGGTTAGAAGAAGGAAGGTTCCACAATAAAACATTTTAACTTAGTCTGTCGCCATAACAACAATGTTAACAGCATTGTTGTGTTCCGGCAGTGGAGGTAATAAGTCCTCTGTGAGGATTCCGGGTGAAGCTCGCATCCACGATCTGGTGAAGGTCGTAGGAAGCGCCTGGATGGATGCGGGCAGCGCTGCGGTCGTTGTGGACATTCGTGAGGGAAGCCTTTGTCCAGCAGTGAAAGAAAGAAAGAAAGAAAAAGTGGACGGTTCGGTTGACACTTAACACATAATCGGGAAGCCAACACATTGTGCAACTATGTACCTGCAACATTGTAGTTATAGTTCCAAAATACTGAACTGTCCTATCGATGACATTGACAGCGGGGCGCCACCGTCAATACCGAATCGCTGGTTCCGATTTTTGCCATGTTGGAAACCATAAAGTTGAACGATGGTAGCGCCCCCCTGTCATTGAGTTTGGCGGGACAGTTCAGTGTGGGTCATCATGTGCCCTCGAACATTGACGCGCGTCATCTTGACGCACTAAATATTTCGAATGTGTGGTTAGAAACCAAAGGGACTGTTGTTTATTAATTAAATATTATGTTTTATTTAGCTCTTCTTATAACAACACGAATGTTAAGAATGTCAACCAACATAAAAAACTTAAAGCATTTTAATTTTGTAAGAATACCTATGTGATTTTGTATGAAAAACTTGAAAATGTTATTTGTAATTTTTATAACTTTTATTCTTAGATTAATTAATCTAAGCTTTTATTAAAATACTTTAGATAAGTAACTCATGAGATCATACTGTGCCGCTATAATGTTAATATATTGGAATTTTAAATACATTTTTATCATATTTATGGATTGATTGTTGTTTTATTGTATTTTTTTAAATTAAGTAGTTACCTACCCTCAGTTGCCTCAATCAAGTGTCGCAGTTAAAAACAAAATTCCGCAAAGTGGACAAACGTTAACTTCCCTATAATTATATGTGTGAGCGATAGCGAAAATCCCAACTAATATTATAAATGCGAAAGTAACTCTGTCTGTCTGTCTGTCTGTCTGTCTGTTACGCTTTCCCGCTTAAACCTCGCAACCGATTTTGATGGAATTTGGCATAGAGATAGTTTGAGTCCCGGGAAAGAACATAGGATAGTTTTTATCCCGGTTTTTGAAACAGGGACGCGCGCGATAAAGTTTTTCTGTGACTATAAAAATAATTTTGTTATAAACACAGCAAAAATCCCATTAGAATTTATAGCATGGCAAAAATAGTTTTCTGAAGCAAACGAAACACAGACAGTTGGTTCTACGTTCCTTTTCGCGTAAGTACCTATATCAAAATATTACAATATTATATTACATATAAATTTTAGTTATATTACTCATTAGTTTCTATTCGAAGTTGATAAAAAAATAAATTTATATATACAAAAAATACAACACATGCAACAAATATAATAAATGCAGTGACTGTTGATTGGGCTATGGATATAAGAAGTGCATTGAACGGAACGTTCTTTCTAATGTCAAAATTAGTAAATCAAAGTGGGTTTCCCTGTGATTTGTTGTGCAGTAATTTTTGTTATCATTTCTACGAATTGCATTGTTTGGAAACAATTTCTAATCTTTTTACGAATAAGACGTGGTGTTTGTTTCATACTTCGATCCTAGAACCAGTTGTTGTGTGTCCGGAACTGATGTAAAGTGCACAGTGGCGATTGTTGAACATTGTTCGCGATAAAACGAGGTATTTCTTTGTGTGACATGAAATAATTGATGACTAAACACTCGAGAGCTATTTAGTATTCATTACGACAACTTTCTACCATTAGATTTTATGGTAAAATACTGTTTATTATGCAATTTGTGTGAAGGTCATTTTGAGATTAATTTTCTTAGTTCTCCTTTTATCTAGATATTTTCTTCACATATATCTTTAATAACTGCAATAAAAATGTAATATTTACGATAAATTACTTTAATTATTTCATAATTCCGTGCCCTTCATGTTAAAACATGTTAATAATGTTCATTATAATTGAACTACATAATGAATCTGAAATGAATCATACACATATACATCTGAAATATCATTCGACCCAAAAACAAGTATTGTTTATCTAGATTTGTATGCCAGTTAGTTTTGCATACAAAACAAATATCATTTGCTATCAAAGCATGTAACAAGTGATATTTTCAATTCTTTTTATTTTAGTAATGCTGTAATTTAACCTTTAAGTCAAATAAATGTATACTGAGCAACCATATACTGTGTTAGTAAATTCTTAAGGTCCGTATCACAAAGTTAGCTGACCTGGCGAATGTTCACCAGAAATAACGTAGCAATCTAATGGTGAAAGATTTTTTCAAATCAGTCCAGTAGTGTTGGAGCCTATTCAATACAAACAATCAAATCTAATTAAAAAGATTTAACTTTATAATATTGGTAAAGCCTGGTCCGTGAGCACGTAGAATTTTGTCCAATGACCCCAAGCTACCCATCCTTATCGCTCGCGCGTAATTATGTTGCTGTCGCGCTCGCACACTCACTGCGGGCGCCCGTCGCACAGTCGCGACAGCAATAAAATTACGCGCGAGCGATAAGGATGGGTAGCTTGGGGTCATTGGACAAAATTATATGTGCTCACGGACCAGGCTTTATACAATGTTAAAAACTTGATTCAATCTCAGGCTTAGATTATCATGTCCTGTGATTGGTAAAATATTTAAATTCAAGCCAGTTCATCTGTTTGAGGATTGGGTGAAGCTCGCTTCTACTTTTGGACTGATCATCATTATGCATCAGGTGAGATGCAGGCCAAGAGCTTCCTCAAATATATCAAAAGCCTCAATTTATGCAGTTTACAGAGTTTTTAGCTTTGTCTGTAAAATACCTTTAAAACTAGCAATATTTAACAGAATTATTTACGTAAGCATATGACAACTAAAGGAAAATTGTTATAATAAAGCATAATTTATTCTGTAGGTATTACCTGAATGACATAATTACATATTTGAGATGTACAAAAACACAATTGAATAAAACCCATTCTTGATCATTACAATATTTTGCCTTTAAATCATTATTTTGAAGATAGCTAATCACTTTAATTACATAATTACCAGTTAAAACAACAATCTATTCACAAATCTTTTAAAACGTTGGAATCATTAACCTAAGTTAAACATCATTAAATAATGTAGATCTTAAAGTATTTGCTCTCTTACTTCATTATTACTGTCTTAGCCTAGGCGCAGACTACTGATTTTTCGTCGGCCGATAGTTTAGTCGGACAGTTGATCTGTATGGGCATGTATGGAAGTGCGCACATTACACCGATTTGGTATCAGGCGATTCTTCATGCAAATTGGAAATCGATCCAATGAGGGCTATCGTTTTAGCGCTCACCACTCACCAGTTAGCGCCACTGTAGAGTAAAGTCCTGTCACTTGCTAGTAGCGAAGACAGTGGCACCAACTTGTGAGCGCTAAAGTGGTAGGAGGACTATCGCATTTGCACTCACCAAGATGGTGCCACTGTAGAGTAAGGTCCTGTCAATCGCCAGGGGTGCCAACTGTTAAGTATAAAAACGATAGCCCTCATTATCGGCCAACTAAAAGTCGGTGGTCTGCGCCTAGGCTAAATTAAAAAAAGAAGGACAGTTAACGTAGCATATTGTTGGTGAGCAAACAACACAGTGCAAGTCATTTTCTTCTACTTTATTGGTGACTGAAAAAGCTGTTAATATTTTTGTGTAAAGGATAAAGCACACTTGTCAACCCGGAAACGGATTGTAACCGTATCAACTAGAGGCGGTCAGTATTCTTTGTATGAAACTGGACTGCAATGCACACTTATCCGCACCGTATTGCGTTAACGCGAAAGGCGATACGGTGTTGATCCCTTTCCGGGTTGATAAGTGTGCTATGACCTTTATTCAATGGGGGGGGGGGGGGCTAGTACCTTAACCTAACCTTTTTTTTGCTATGTTATCTTTGAAGCCCAGAAAAAATTGGTTAAAATTACTTTCAACACTGCTGTTTGAACATGATTAATAAATATGTAATTAGTCAATTAATTATGATAATTTTGAACGTTGCAGGAGCATAATGGCAGATCGCCACCACATTCGGGTGGCCGCCGAGTCGCTGCTCAGTAGTGTCACGAATCCACATCAGCTGTGTAAGTACTAATTATTTATTTATAATCTCTCTATTTAGGCCTAAACTCATACAAACGGCACGGTGCGGCGCTGCCGCCACCTTAAAGGTCATAGCACACTTATCAACACGAAAAAGGATCAACATGGTTGCCGTGTTAATGATTCCTGGATCTTTAGTGGGCGATCTAGGGTTATATTCAGGGAGGCCTGACCCCAGTATGCGTATTAACTGGGGTCAGGGTATGGGCACATAGCTCGTAGAACTGATGGCCATTAGGGCAGAAAAGTTCTCAGGTACCACGGGCCTTAAGACGTAGTATAGGCAGGCCTTCCACTAGGTGTACCGATGATTTGGTGAAAGTCGCGGAAATTATGTGGATGCGGTCAGCGCAAGGAAACGAAGAAGGAATGCATGCTTGTAAGTTAGGTCAAGGAGCAAGATCCTCTATTATGTTATTAAAAGAGCAAATTCTCTATTTACGTACGGACAGATAAAGTGACACCATTCCAGAAATAATATCGCTTCCCGATTGCTACTATTAGGGTGAACAATCACTAGCGCATTTTCGTGTAACCATCCTACATCCTACTAATATTATAAATGCGAAAGTTTCGATGTCTGGATGTTTGTCTCGCTTTCACGCCTAAACCACTGAACCGATTTTGATGAAATTTGGCATAGAGATATTTTGAGTCCCGGGAAAGGACATAGGATAGTTTTTATCCCGGTTTTTGAAACAGGGACGCGCGCGATAAAGTTTTTCTGTGACAGACAAAATTCCACGCGGGCGGAAAGCTACTACGAGGGCTGCACTAAAAGTATCGGGAATGGAATATTTCCACTGTTCCAGTCATATTAAAATCTATTTCATTGCAAACTCCAGGGTTTTAAAAATCGTATACCATTTATTTATTTAAAAAAAGATTCTCGGTCGTATCACAAGATCTTGTCAAACTTGTTTAGTCGTTGAGAAAATGGAATTGACTTAAGAAAATTCAAGAGCGATGATTTATTATGACTTTTGAAGTGGTTTAACACAAAAACAGTGTGTTGACCGGATGATTTCTGCATTTGGTAATGAAGCCCCATCCAAAACCACAAT